TCTCCAGGCTCTCCTAAGTGCCACCGCAGCCCCCTGCCTCCAGGAGCCTTGCCCGAAACCCAGTGGGAGTCCTCCAAAGTTTCCAGATGCTCGGCTCCTTTCTAAAGAGGTTAAATAAGTGCTTCGGTGCCCAGGAGCTACCCCCAAAGCCATCCCTCCATCCCGGGGAGCCGCCACACTGCAGTGCTGGGGACGGAGCCCCCGCGCACCCAGGCTGGGTGTCTTCCATCCAAAGAGCAATCGAGAAGTGAAATATATTTATCTGCCATTTGCCCTCCATCCCCAGAGCCTGCCAGCCCGTAAACACACGCTCCCCTCGCTCTGGGATGTGTCAGATGTTGTGACTACAGCCTGCACCAGCTGGTTGACTTGCCCCTCCTCTTCTTCGCACAATAAGAGACATTTCTTGTGTGCAAGAATCCAGGAAGTCTCCTGCAGGGAACACTGTGATTTACAGCGTAATGCCCTGAGCAGGGCATTAGTTATTGGCAGTATTTTCTACTGCTGAGAACAAGCAAACGCAGCTGCTGTTCAGCAGCTCCTAGGGACAGGTACGAGTGGGATCCTCACTCCTTCATCCCCGTAGGAACATCTTTCCGGCCATCAATTATAACTGGTTCACCCTCCTGGGGAGAAGCTGCTGCTTTCTGGAGGTGACCAGCAGTTACCAGCATAAGACACCATGTGGAGACAAGTCTTGATTTCAGGGTCACCACAAGGCATGAAATCTTCCTAAATTCAACCAGGATCAGCCACCAGAAGGCTGGGAGCAGGCAGACCACAGCAGCGCTTCTCAGTATCGTTTCCAGCCACGGACCACCTAAACCCTTTGAAAAATATCCTCAGCTTCGCCGCAGCGGTTTTAACTTGCAACCAAATAAACATTCAGCTAAGCCCTGGCTGCCTGCTTGTTACTGCCGCGGGAGGCTGCGCGCATATACACCATATATACCGTTCTGGTTTTCTGAAACACTTCCAGGCTCCATGTTCAATTATCTCCTGGCCAACACCACCCTGTTGTCTACAGAACGGGGAGATGGCTGAGTTATCACCCAGAGACAGCACTTTCCAAGGCAGCAAGCATGAAAAGAGGCTTGAAGACAACTAGAGAAGATAAAATACATTTGGCCTGTCATCATAATGAGGCAGGATCCAGGACAAGCCGTGGGAGGAAGAACTAGACGGTAGCTAAGGGAGTGGGAAGATAAGAATCAGACTTTTTGTACTGCCAAAGGCACCCTGGTATCAACCTGCATCAGTGATAACAGTTTCTCAGTTCCCCCATCTGTAAGACAGTGTAACACCATCTCCCTCCATCACATTAGAATTGTGAAAAGCTCAAATATTACTGCCGTGAAGGCCATGTCTCCATGGGATCTGTCTACACAGACACTCTCAGGAAAGGTGATCTGAATTAAAGACAGGGCAGGATTACTTAAAACTTCACAATCACCCTGTTAACGATTTGGGATTAAAGCAGTCACAACACTTCTAAGTGCAAACGGCCCCATACAGGAAGTTTAATGCAGTTAATTAATCCCTCTGGAGAAAAAAAAAAAAAAAAAAGGAGCACCAGCAGGAGGAGATAGTGATGGGCAAACCTTAAACGGGACCAAAAATAAAAGGAGCTGTTCTAAAGGCTGCCTGGAACTGCAAAAAACCACGTCCCAAAGCTGAGACAGATCCCAGTCAAACAAAACAAGCAATCTTGGAAATGGAAACTAAGGATCAGGCTTTTTTTGAGCACTTCTGTATGTTGGATTTTGCCTCCATGATTCATTCATTAGTAGCCGCAGGGCTGGAACAGAACCCAGACTGCCGAGCCTCCGCGTTGGGCCTGACCCACGAGGCTATTCCCGACTCGCTTCCTTCTCCTGTCAGCACCTCGCCAAAATAACAGCAAAGGGGAAGTGGCACTGGGTCATCTCCTTGATTGCCGTAAGGGAAGAATAACTCTTTGAATCATCCCCTTTTTTTTCCTTAATTCCAGGTGACTGAATCACTCCTGACTCGGAGCTCCCAAGCCAGGGCCCCGGCTCCCGCTGGGCTCAGCCGCCCCGATGCTTTCCCGTCGCACTCAAGCAGATTCAAGCTGCCGGCGGGGACATACAGACAAAATGCTGCTGCTGACACACGAAGAGACAGACAGGCACCTCCACGGGCTTGCAAAGGTCGTCAGTAAGCATACGTGTTCATTCATGCTTTACATGCAGGCATGCACACTTGTTAAGGCAAATAAGGGCACACTGGTGTCAGGTTATCCGGAGAACTCAGAGCCACCTCTAAGGAGGACGGTGGGTTTTAAAGTGCTTGTCACTCAGCGTGACACTGGGCAGAGTTTTACCTCCCAGGAGTTCAGCATCCAGCATGCTGAGCTGCTAACACTTCTGGGCTAGGGGAGCAGGAGACAGTTGCACCGCTAACTGCAACGTCTGAAAAAATCAGGAGGGTGCTTTTGTTTAACTACTGGTCCAAAGCAAAAACCAGGCCCACTCTGGTTTAGGAAAAAAAAAAAAAAAAGCAGCAATCTTACAATGCTTCAAGTTTCCTGCTTATTAACGAGGCAATTTTCCAAGAAAAATGAATTTGCCTTGGTGGGAAAAAATGAGCAGTTGTAAGTAATTCAGTGTTGGCATGTTCATGTTTGGAAGTTGAAAACTTGGATTTTGTTGCATTCATGACAAAGCCAAAGGGGAAGGGCAGAAAATAACTCAAAACAGAAATGGAAGATGAAAATTAAGAGCATGAGGTATATCTCATTTAAAAAGAAACCCAGAAAACAAAATCCCAACAAAATCTTTTAACTTATTTTGAGCAAGCAAAAGCTCACGGTAGCTTTCACTAGGTTTGTACAGCCCCAGTGTGTAAAAATCCCGCAAATTTCCACAGGGAAGGACTTCACATTCTTGCACTTTTTTAGCACATGTCCAGGGACACCCGTTATCCGATGGACACGGCAGCAGATGTGCTTTTACAGGATTGCAAGCCAGCACTTCATTAAGGCAAACACAAGCACCCCCTGCCTTGGGGAACAAGCCACTGTCCCTCTCTCCTAGCCCCTGGCTCTCACACGCACAGGACGGGAGCAAGCAGGGAGGGCAGCTGGAGAACTAGGGATGCAGTTGTCTCGACTCTTCCAGGGAGACCCCTTTGGAAGTCCAAACTCACATACCTTCTGATTCACGTACCTGCCCGGCTGCTTTCCGACTGATTTAAGAGTGGGTTGATTGATAGCCCAGATGCGAGGGGGCTTCCAAAAATATGTGAGGAAGGGAGGCTAAATGTTGAACCTGCCAGGGAGAACACCTACATGGCAAAACAAGGAGGGGGAGAGAGAGGAGTGACTTCTCCAAAACACAAGAGGAAAAATAACTTCATTGTTCCATCTCTTTCTGACTCTTGAACCCAGTTTGCTCATGAGAGAGAGCGTTAAAAATATCTCCTTGGAAGTCTCGCTAGACAGTTGAAATCTTCCCAGCCCCGTCTCGGAGCCAAGAGGTCTGAACGAGCTGTGTTAACGCTGAGGCTGTAAAACTAACTCTCTCCTCCCTGTAAAATACCTCTCACAGTGAGGTCCCGACGAAGGACAAGGCTCTGTCTCCTGGCACACGCAGAGCCCACCCAGCTGGGATGCGCGAGCCCTCCCACCACGTTATCTGTGCCGCAGAGCGGAGGCAGAGCTGGTGCTGGTGGCAGGATCCAGACAAGCAGCGGCACGGGGACGAGCAGCCGGGACATGGCACATGCCGACAGCCAGGCCTCTGCCACCCGAGCACTGCCCGTCCTCCCCTTACAGTCAGGGGAAGGCAACACGTCCTTTTAGACTGCAATTCCTCCCACCCCGAAACAGGCTGCGCGGGGCTGTGACACAAAATCACCTACATCTTTCTCCCCACTCTAAGGGAAGCTGCAGTTGGCAGCTCCCCTCCAAACAGAAGGAAGAGTGGCTGTTCCCGAGTGGAAAAAGCAGCTCCTCTGTGCCCACAAACTGGCCCTGCTCTGTCCAACCCTCTCCCGAACCACAGTCCCTCTCCTGGTCCTGATGTTCTTACCTGCGTGGTGGAGACGGAGGAGGAGGAAGCTGGGATGGTGCTAGCAAAGGGAGACCGGTTGAGCTGTGGGAGAGACGACGTACCCTGGTGTGCCAGCAGGCTGGAAGAGAGGGGTGTACTGCACACAGCTCGGAGCACTCCGCCCCCGTGGGAAATAGGGTCCTTGTTACTGGTGTAGATCCCTGCAAGAGGAGGAGACGTGTTAGAGAGCCACGCTCCCCTCCCGGGGCCGGGAAGCAGCTGGTTTTCCACAGGGCTCCATCTCAGAAAGGGAGGGTGGCACCAGTGCACAAGAGCAAGGGTAACGTGCGCTTCGGCGTCTCGTAGCCCGGCACACAGCGAGGGTGGTCACAGCCCACAGCCCTTCGATCAAAAGACGCTGCAAATTTTTCCAGCCTTGCCCTTGTCCCCCTTTTGTTTGCTCCTCGCACCCCGATGCAATCCGACAGAGAACTCGCAGCGTGAAGTGACTCACCGAAGGCACAAATCAGTGGCAGAAGAGGGCAGTGGGCTCAGAGTCCCACTCTCTGCTGCCTGTCAATAGACCACACTGAGCTAACCTTGCTGAGCATCCCCTTCCGTGATGCCCAGGGACCACAGTGGAGCACGGACAGATAAATGAGGAAGAAAGGGTGAGGAGAGAGCTGCTGCGGAGGGAGGGGACCCATCTGACTTCCCCTTGGCTCAAGCATGTGGCACAGGCAGTGCCCAAAGCCAGGTCCCTCACGGCCCTGCCAACATCTCTCTGCAAGAGAAGAATGGGAGAAGGAGCAGGCAGGAGAGTGGGGCCTGGCAGCCTCCTTCTCTCTGAAACATCCCTTTGCTGTTCCAGGGGGAAGCAAAAAAAAAAAATGGCCTAAGGTTATGATTATGGAGGTTGCATCAATTCCTGCAGCTCCTCTCCTCTCTCGGGCAGCACAGACAAATGGGCCAGGGCTCCCAGGCGCACACAACAAAATTATACTCCCCCCCCTCGCAATCTGACCTAAATTGGAGCATCTGCAAACAACCCACAATAGGCCAATGACAAGTTCTGCTGCCAGAACAGTGTCAAACCCCAGGCCTGAGCTGCAGGCCCCTCCTCTGCCTGCTGCCTTAACCCCTTCCTGCCACATGTCCTGGCTGCCCACATCCCTGCCAGGCCAGGGGAGGGGACTCAGGCTGGGAGCAGCTTTAAGCTCTCGGCAGAGTTAATGCCGTGCCAGTCTCCCAACCCTACCGGGATTTGGTAAAACCACGATGAGAGGTTTTGTTTTTAAAAGAGGAGTTAAACTTGAACCACTTCCACGAGGTCAGATTGTGGTCATTCCTGTTTGGTCTGTGAATATCCCTCTCTAGGCTTTGGAAATTAAGCTTTGGCTAGCTGAGGTTTTCCAGCATTTGAGCAAAAAGGGTTTGAAACGCTCCCCAGCTCTGATCTGCAGCCCAGTTCAAATGAGAGAGGCGCTGACCTGGAGGAGGTTCTAGAATGAAGGCCAAGATGAGAAGGGGAGACCCAGATGTGGATTTTTACAGCTCCTGGGACTGAATTAAAGGGACTGGACTCTGTGCAGACAGGTCCGGACACCAGGCAACGTGATGAAGAGCCAGCAAGGGCTGGGGGGAACTGTGCACACCTGGAGCCCTAAGGGGGAACATACCTGAACCCAGCAGCGGGGACTCCATGCTGAGGCTGGGCAGATTCCCCGTGTGGCTGAAGGACCGTGAAGAGTTGCCGATGCTGGAGCTGACAAGAGAGCCCCCGGAGAAGGGTGACGAGGAAGTAGATGTGGACCCAGCCAGCTGGGCACCCAAAATCTCTTTGCTTTTGCCCCCTTTTGGCCTGCCAGGCCCATGCTTGTTCTTCTTGCTACCCTTGTGCTTCTTTTCCTTCAGCACCTCTCCCTCCTCCATGCTGAGGGACGGCATGCGCTTGTGGCTGCTGCTGCCACCACTGGTCCCACCGGTCCCCACCGAAGGGCCGCTGACAGGGTTTGAGGCCTTATAGTCCACGGGGGAAGCATCACGGCCTCTCTGCTGGCTCACCGCGGAGGTGGAGAAGCGCATGATGGACCCAAAGCCTGAGAAGATCACCTTCTGCTCAAAGATGTCCCCCTTCTGGCCTTCATACAGAGGGGAGCAGTGGGAAGAAGAAGAGGAAGAGACAGGCTTCCGGTACTTCTCGTCGTCCTGCTCGAGCTTGGGGAATGTCACAAAGTCCTGGGAGCACTGCAAATTGCTGCAGGAGGTACCTGGGGGGAGCAGAGACAGGAAGGCTTGTGGTGGCGGTAACTCAGTCCACGCGGCAAGGGGAACATGGCCACAACAGAGGTCCTCTGGCACGGGCTGGTCACCCCGCTGAAGGCCATCCCTGTCCCCTCCCGGCCCTCTGCTTTGACTTTCTCTGTCAAGCATGAGAGGTGCTCACCAGCAAGCTTCATCCCACCCAGCCGTGCACATCTCTGCTCCCCCAGGACCTGTGTCACCGCTGTCCCCCCAGCCCCGACTGGGGTCCCAGGAGAGGAACATGCTAGCCATTACCACAGCTCAAAAAAGAACCAAGCAAGGTCAGAGCAGATGGGAGCCCTGCAAGGCTTTGACTCAAAGCTCAGGGGAGCCTGGATATCAGGTTTTGGCTCAGTTCTCTCCACTAGTACTCCTTAAAACACTGCTGCAGACAGTACCACCTACGGAGGAGAGGACAGGTGCTGCCCATATTGCCTGCGCACAGTATCGCTTCCCTCCTCCCTCCACTCAGACATCTGGATCTGTTTTTCCTTGCAGTGCAGCAGGCCTGCACAGGAGGGGAGCTGTAACACTCATCTGACTCGGTTCTTCCCTCTGTGCAAGGACTTGAGGAGCAATAAGACTTTTCCCTTTCTCTTCAAGGGGTTAACGAAATACCCACCAGCAAAGTTTCCCAGCACCAGCTGGTGAACGGGTACCTTTACAGATAGAGAGACATCAAAGAGGAGAAAAGCAAAACATCACCCCCATCCTCCTCTCCTCTCTTGCTTCTCCTTCACCCCTTACCTGCAGGCTGAAAGGTCCCGCTGGATGAAGCTGAGCTGAAGCCGACGGAGCTTTTCCCGCTTCCCGTCTTTTTCCCTTTGTGGCTGCTGCCATGGCTTGAGGACTTCCTGCCTTTCACCTCCGACCTGCCGACCTCCGAGGTCTCTTTGCTCCCCTCATGGTGGCTGGTAGAGCCCTGGCAGCAGCAAACACAGAGGTGACTCACTCAGGCCAGATGTGGCCACAGCGGGGGCTCTTTTTACCAATTTCCCCTTAAGAGAAGTAATTGCCCCCTCTGCCCACAAAGTGATGGTCAGGTCATGTTACGCAGGAGAGAAAAAAAGCAACATTTCCCTCTCTCGCTGGTTGGTGGCACCAGGCTTTTATGCTCCTAGGGATTACTCTCATCCCATCTAATGGCAGGAAATTAAACAGAGCGCTGACAACGAGGGCACAGGCATCAGAAATTCCTCCCCATCGTCAGCAGAGGGGACTACCTCAGGGGGTTATGCGGCACAAATAAAATGTGAATTTGGCTGTGATTCACACATACATTTCAGCTGCATCTCTCACATGTGCTGTTCTCAGCAAGGTCATTCCACCTGGGGGAACCTGCTTGTCCTTGTGCTGCGACAGGAGTTCCCCTGGATTCCCTACAGCATCCACTGAAGCAGCTCCACTCCAGCCCAGGGCTTTCCAAATCTACTGCAGTAAATATTTCACAGCGATATTGTTAGAGCAGCATCTGACCACGCAACAGATGCTAGCCAAACCCCATATAAGCCTGCAGGAGACAGGGAAGCAAGGGGGATGAAGAGGCTGGCCAGATGCTAGGAAATCCAGGAGCTTGGGATGAGAGAGGGAAGTGTGGGAGCTTAGCAGGGGGAGAGTGGAATGAACTGAAAACCAGATTCCCCGGGGCACCCACGCTAGGATATGAAACCTTCACCTTCAAGTCACTTCAAAGCCAAACCAGCAGCGTTCAAAGATCACTCCTTGCAAGATATTACTGCAACCAATCAATAATATAGATGCAGTTCTATCACGATGGCTACAGCCCAAAATGTAACACCTGTGCGTTAGTACTAACACCTTTTATTTCTTACTGAGCAGATACAAGGAAGACACAGAGAAGCACAATACCTTTCTTACATTCCACTGTCCCTGACTCCAGATGACCTCTTCTTGGGGAGAGCTCGAGAAAAAAGGGCTTGTAATGCAGACTCATGAATGCCCAGATAAAAATCTTTTCCCCATTCCTCCCACATGGTTTAATCACTCCGCACAATGCAACAGCTGGCAGCCTAACACACACCAGATGTGCCGGGAATATGAAAGACAGGAGGAAGGGAGTGGTGGAAATTAGGGGGGAGAGGAGGGGGAATCTGTATTTTCTCATCACAGACTCCTGGATGTAGGAGATTAAGCCTTCTTGATTTATGAGCTCAGAGGGAGCATGAAAATCTTTCCGACTTTCCACATCTGCCTGGGGAGGGAAAGGAGAACAGTGTCTGGGGGCTATGGGAAGTCCTGAGACTGCTCACCAAGTCGCAGGAACGAGATGGCTCATGTCTCCGCAGAAATGCAAAGCCCTGAGTTTTCCTCCCATAAATTCACCTCTTCGGAGCTCCCCACAAGGTGCACGAGGCCACAGAAGGGCAGGGGGGAACCACATGAGAAGACATGTTCTAAATCCAGAGTGTCAGGAAGGGAGTGCAGGGCAGGTAATGAATTAGTGCGGGGTGGAAAGGGGAAATCTGAGCTGGGAAATAAATCTTAATTGCAAAATTAAAGGGGAAAAAGAAAGGAGGGGAAGTGAGGCTGAGCTGGTTCAGCTGGAGGCAGTGAATGGACAGGCACTCACCTGCAGGGCTGATCTGACCTCACAGACCTCCCTGAGAGACTCACAGAGATTTCAGGGCAGGATTTTCCCATCTCCTGCCAAACGCTATCCTAGATATTGTTTGCCAAACAGATCAGGGCAGACAGATCTATGTGGTACTGCCACAAATCCTCCTCACCGCAACGGGCCCTTCTCTAGCAGCCGTTCCAGAGAGCCTGAACTTGGAGCAAGAGCCCAAGTGCTGCAGCCGAGGAGCAAAGAGAGGGAACCTGAAACCACACTAAATCACTTCCCCTCTCTGTGCCTCTACTTCTTTCCCACTTTGCTCCGTGGAGCCTGCGAGCTCTGTGTGGCAGCTGAACCTTCCAGGAGACACACGTGGACTGCCAAGCACAACACGGCCTTGATCTGAAGGGGAGGGCTCTGCTACCATAATGCCAATATTAATAACAGTAACGAGGGCTGCAGTCCCCTCACCTCCCTCATGAAGGAGATGCTCCAGCTCAGGGCTGCTGCCTAGAGGGAGCCGGGCTGGAGAAACCTGCATGCCTGCTGCTTGCCTTGTGCATAAACAGAGGGCTCAATCTCTGGGTCACTGGCTTTTCTCCAGCACGGAAATCTGTGTGTGTGTGTGTGTGTGCGCAGAAGCACCAATGTTCTGTGTGTTGCAAACAGGTGTGTGGGGGAGAGCACGCTGCAGAGGAAAAAAAAAAATAAAAATAGGGAAGCGCTGAGGAAGTGAGAGCTCTCTTGCAAAATGAGGCAGCAGCTACGTTTCGAAGGTCTATTTAAAGCAATCAAGTGAAAAATGTCATCAGAATAAACCTACTGCCCCAGCTAGAGGTGACAGTCTGAACGGGAAACTCCTGCCTCAACCCCGGAGGAGTGGGACGACGTCGCGCGGGCACCCAAGCGCAGGCATGCACACACCTCCTCCCCCCGGCGCGGGGCTGTACCTGTTTCCTGGCCTCTCTGTGACACTGTGCAGCACCCAAGCTCTTCATTCATTAATTTATTTATGGGAAATCAGAAGAGCATCTCTTTGCCTCCTGATTGGCGGGGCGAGCTCCTAGAGGGAACCACTGACAAAATACAGAAGGGGTGGGGGAGGCTGGTGCCGCGTCGGAAACACAGAGTGGCTTTGCCCTGGATTAAACTACTGGTGAGGGGAAGCAGGGAGGACACGAATGAGGAACGATGCGACGAGAGCAGGAGCTCCTCCAGCCCACGCACGGCAGGGCGATGTGCTGAAGCAGCCGCCCAGGCAGGCTGGAAGCATCAGCTGCCTTTCCACGCTGCATCACGAGGCTGAGGTCGGAGCCTCTACCAGGAGCTCCGGGCACCAGCTACAGCATCTCTGTGTCAGAGCCACTCGCAGCCTTTCCCACATCCCTTCCCTCAACCTGGAGATTAGGCAGCACCGTGCTGCCGTTCTTTATAGGTGGGGAGAGGAGACACAGATGGCTGAAGATTGTATTTTTCAGTCCCTGATGTCGCTGGCAAATCCCCACTCAGGTCAGCACAAGGGATGCTAAAAGGCTCAGGGATTCTGACTGCGAATACCCACGCTGAGACATGCTTGGCTTAGCCGGGGTAATCATCAGCCTTCCCCCACAAACCCCTACCCCATCCCAGCGACTGTGAATTTGCCTGAGCCAGGCGCAGTGCAGAGGTTCCCAGGATCTGTCAGCTCCAGGCTCGTCCTGGGTAAGATGCCGAGAGCTCAAATAACAGTGGGAAACCTGGAAAGTCTCCCTGCCTCCGGTGGCGCCTGCAATCGCGAGCCCCTCGCCCCGCTGCGCTCCCTCTCCAGCACCTGACCGGGAGAGGGTGGGTGCGGGGAGGCCTTGGCATCCGCGCCTTAGATTACAAAACCCAGAGCAAGCCAGATGTTGCAGCCTGAAACACGTAGCATGTGTGAGTGTGTGTCAACAAGTGATCACGATGTCTGCAGCTGGCAGGAGGAGGCAGCTGGGGTGGCTTGCAAGCCTGCAGATTTACTGCAAGTGCAACAGAGAGAGGCAGGACGGCTCCCCAGGGGCAGCTGCAGGGGGAGGGAAGAGGCACGCTGCTTGCTGTTCGCAGAACCCGATCCCAGCACCAGGCACCATCTCCACGCACGGATCCTGAGCACAGAAAAAACCTCCTCCTGAATTTGTCGGGAGGTGCGTGACTAGAGAGCCCTGGCTGTCAAGACTTACAGGTGCAAAACCCTCCTCTGCCCCAGGCCTGCTCCATCTTTCCAACAGGCTGCTCGGAAGTGTTACTAGTTGGCAGCATTTTGGTGCTTTTGGAGACACCACATAAAATAGCCAGAAATTGTTATAGCCATAAACTATTACCCAGAGGGGATGTTTTCTGCCGCTTTCCCACTCCCCAGAAAGTCTGTCTGAGCTGCAAGTACCCAGCGTGACGATGAATGAGAGCCCGTATCCAGCACAAATTCCCTCTCTACCATCCACCCAAGAGCCCTGAGCCCTGCTGGGCCACCTGCTCTGGACACTCCAGTGCCCCACGAGCAAGGTCTTTGGCCCCTCTCTGAGCGCCATGAAAATCACATCACCCAAAGATGCTTTCAGAGGCAGGAGGAGAGCTCAGAAGAGGTGTTATACAAGGAGTCGTTTGCGTGCTGTGAATTCACACCCTAGTTTCACTTTCCGGTGTAGAGGAGAGCTGAGGCCACAACAGCACTTTGTTTTCAGTGTGTTTATCCCCCAAACCCGAGTGAGGCAATGAGAGTTTGTCACTGCACGGACAGGACACGGAGGCCTGGTAGAGTCCAAGTGCCAGATATTAACGGTATTTAGATTCCTAGAAGACACAGGGAAGCGCTCAGTGAGATGTTCAAAAATCTGGCAGAAGTCAGAGGTCTAGCACAATTGATTTTAAGAGGAAGCCTGAAACCACATCAAAGGATCTTCTTCACGACTAAACGGTTCAAGAGGGGAGCACAGGGTGGACGACACATTAGATGAAAATTGGAACTGAAAAATAAATCTGGATTGAAAAATTAAAAGAAAAACGTGAACCCAGAGGCCAGGTTGATGGAACAAGGAAGTGGGACATACCACAGTTCCTCCGAAGCAATGAAACAGTTCCCCTGCTGTCAGCCTAACCTGGTGAAGTAGCTTGAAAAGTCCCACTGTACAGGACTGTGGCTCTGAAAATCCATTATTAAAAGCTTGCTGAAAGCTTCAAAGGAATTTGGTAGCAAGATCAGATGCTGGAGGTCAGACGTCCCAGGCTCCTTTTAGGCTAAACAAACTGGGAGCAGACTGGAGCATGGCTTCAGTTACCAGTAACGCCTCTGCACAGCCCGGTGGCTGGTGCCACGCTGCAGTCTGCCCGCAGCCTCGGTGCCCAAGGGGCAAGTGGTGCCAGGGCCCTTCTGCTGATCCGCCTGACTGATGCTCCTGCTCCTCGCTGCTGGCTCCAAAGCACTGGTGATGCTCAGTGCCCCGCGCCCAAGCCCTGCTCCAGCACTGCCAGGACGAGAGCCTGGGACTCGCTGTAGTGGTGCCACTTTGGCTGCGGCGTGGGCAGCACGACGGGCTGGCAGCAAGGGGCTGGCACGGGCAGCAAGGGCTGCGCCAGCCTCCTGTGGCTCTGCACGGCTGCTCTGGGCCACTGGCCTTCTCCCAGGAGCCTGGACATGACCATCTGCCTCGAGACTATCCCTGGGGAGACTATGCTCTGGTCCATTGGGTAACTTGGAGAAGACCACAGAGGCGATAAATTATTTGCCCAAGATCATGCAAGGGGCAAGGAGAGGAAGAGACCCCAGGTCTCTTCAGACTCTAACCACGGCACAGCAGGGACCAGCAACGCTCTTGTGGTAGTCACACCATGAACATCAGCTTTTGGTTTGCTGCATCTCCCCAGTGCACCCTCCTGGGATGAGCTGTACTAATGTATGATCCAGAAAGGACAAGGACGGTTTTGGCTTCCAAGCAGAAACCTGTTTGGACATGCTCCATTAATGTGTCTCAAGGTTTTACATTAGTTTTACATTAGTCTAACCTGTGCAATGTTACACTGGTGCAACTCTCCAGCAAGCCTCATACAACCACCCCGAGGGGTTTGTGCAGGGTTGTAGCATGCTGCTGAGCAGCTCTTACATTTGATCTGGAGCGAGTACCTTTGGTAACAGAGTTTGAACAATACTTTGGGATCTACGCACAAAAAAAAAAAAAAAAAAAAAAAAAAAAAAAGCAAGGGAAATACACTCTATGTTATGAGGATTAATAATAACTCCCTAGGGAAACACTAAAACCCTGTCACTCAAGTACAGCTACAGTAATTAGGATCTCCTGAATTTTAGCTTACAAAGAGTTGAAAGCTGCCTGTAAAACTGAATTGCACCCTTCCCTCCTTATTTATAAAGGTCTGGCAGGGCTTTGGAGGAGACAGTGGGTAATTGTCTAACAACCGCTCTAGCTGGCCAAGAGTCAGGTTTTGGATTTCAGTTCAGCTTGAAAATAATCTTCTTAGGCTATCGGTTCCTGACAGCTCTGTTAACTGGGTGAATCTGCTGTTCCCAAAAGCCAGAGCTGAGCTGCCCTAACATCAGCACAGGTAAATCAAGAGTGATTGCAGCTCGGAGGCTGTTCCTCCACTCTGTCCTGCTGTAAACTTTCTGCTTCTCCCAGCCTGAGAACCGTGAGACCAGCTTTGCCATTTCAGCTCTGACCTCCACCTCCAGTCCCTGCTTCACCCAGAACAGAGAAAATCCTCTTCAGCCCTAACCCAAAGCAACCCCGTGCTGACTGGCAGGAGCTTTCGCTCTTGCAGACTGCCCCTGCAGTGCTTCTCACACACGCAGACACTGCTAGCCTGTGAATTTTCATTTTCACAAGGCAGTCCCGCCATGTAAAGGACACCCAAGCCTTTCCAAGTAGCATTTCTGTGCACAAAAGGACATTCCTGGGACATGTTGTTTATTTGTTCTAGCAGGAGCTTGGCCCCAGTCCTACTCACACCAGAACAGCCCTGCTGAGGAGTTGCATTCATTTACATTCCCACTCCGAGAGGAAAGTACAACTCCAAAGGTCCAGGTGCTGGTGTGACCTCACTTGTTCCCTGACCCTGAACAACTGCAGACTTGGCCTTCACCTTGTTGCATGCAAGTTCCACTGCCTCTATTCTGCATTAGTGGAGTCTGGGGCTGGCACGACTTACAGAAAGCTCAGGGCTCTCCCGATTTACAGCCAGGTGCAAGAGGCCGTGTCTGCAGCACCACTGCAGCAGCGAGGAGCGGAACACACTGACATCCCGACGGCACCCCGGGCCCCGGGAAGATGAACCCACACAAGCAACATCTTCCCAGCAGGGAACTGGGCTGCCTCTACACCTCAGGAGCGAAACAGGCCACCACACCGTGCTCCTCTGCCTGAATTTCCCTGAAATGGAGGAACTAAATAGAAACCAACCTCCCATTGTCTCACACAGAAAAGCTGCCTCTATTACACACTTTGAAGATCTGTGCTTGCAAGATTGGGGTTTTTTTTTCCCCTCAGCTACATCGGTTAGTCTAATAAAGGCTAACACATCCTCCCACAAGCCTTGCCTTGCTTATCCACCTGCCTGAGCTGTTCATGATGTGGCAGCAGAAAAGGCCAAAGCGTGGATATTTATCTATTCCGCAAGAGCTTCAAATCTGAACATCTGCTGCAAAACAGGCTGGCACTTACAGCTCAATCACTTGGGAGTTTAGCTCCATGATTGTGTCGTCAGTGCTGACAGAAATCAAGACAGCTGCCGTGTTAAATTCCCAAGGTGGGCGTCGAGGTGGGGAGTCAGGCAGAGCGAGCGAGAATGTGACGAATCAGGAATCAAAATAAATGGACAAAAGCCCTTTCTCTGCTCTTCTGCCCTGTCCATCCCACTTCTAGGAGAGGCAGTGTCGATGGTTTCCCCCTGCCCTCCCTCCCCACTCTGCATTCACACATCCTGGGGGTTTGGTACCTTCTCTGCAGCGACGGGCACGGAGGATGGGGTAAGGCTGGTGGGAGACTCCGGACGTTTTTTGTGCTTCTGTTTAGGTCTTTCTTTGTCCTTCCGACTCTGCAAAAGAAACGAGAGAGTACTGGAAGGCTAACTTTTCCTCTGCTGAGAATAGCAGTTGTAAGGGAAAAGAAAGCAGGGTGTGTAGGGGTGGATTTACAACCATACATTCATATTCCTCTTTCCTTCTCCACCCATCCACTCGAGCCCAGTATCCCTTCCCCCACATCCCAGCTTCTGGCTGAGAGCGTCCCACTATCTCTACCCCAGCTGCAGCCAACATCTGGAGTGCAGAATATCAACAGAAGCCCCCAAATCAGTTTATGGTAAGATGATAGGGAAGGACTTAACAAGCTCTGGCTGATTTCAAGAAACCTGAGCTTTCCTCTTGCTATTTCCCCGAAGGGACTCTGTGCCCCCTTAGCCTCGCTCTCCACCTTCTCCAAGGGTTTCTCAGATCCACCCTGTACAGACAATGGGAGAGTCTTGATTTCAGCACATGCTGCACGTGCACAGGTAAAACGATCGGTCAGCAGATACCTCAGAACCTAACCTAGAGATCCCCCACATCTCCCCTCCCAGCAGAGACAGCTGGTCTGGGTCCATCTCTGCTAACAGGAGACAGACTATTACGTTTGATTTCTTCATCCTGGTTTTTCTCTCACTAAAACCCCCGAACCACAGGATTCTTCAAATTGAAAACATGGAAAAATCACAGCCTGAGAAACACTGAGTCCTGCCTGCCCTGACTTTATATTCTCTTGGGGAATGGACTGTAACCAAGGAGGTTATTATACAGTGCTGTCTGGATGTTTATGCTGAAACTGAGATGTTTTCTGTGACTGAAAACGCAGGCCTGTGTGACCTCAAGTCAGGCTTGAGGATGCCCAGGCCAGCTGGCATACAGGATGGATGGATCAAAGAACACGCTCCATCACACACTCCTGCTTCCTCCCCGTCTTCCTCAGCTGCACGTTCCCATGGGAACGCACTCAGCTGACTGCAGGAGCTTTTCCGTGCTACCCATGTCAGCTAAAGATGTGGCCGCCTTTGCTGAAGCTGAAGAAACTTCTTTCCCAAGTGCCAAAGCTCCCAGTGTGGTTACTGGTGTGTGGACCAGGAGAGCTGCTGTCAGACAAACACTTGCACGACAAGCAGGGCTTCCAAAAATCCATCCTCCTGTCTCAGAGACCTTTTTGTGGCAAAGAAAGTGCCTATTCTGGTACACCTCCCTTGCACGGGTGTTTTATTCTAAAAGCTCAAGTCCTCAGTCTGGACCGAAGGTGCATTCAGAACAGAACAGTCACATCAAAATTCACTGACTCTCCAGAAAGATGCTGACTGTTTCCTCACGCAGGCAAAGCCCCGAGGCTACGGCTGCCAGCACATGCCAAAGTTGGGATGCTGTCAGGGGAGGATGCAACTGCAGCAAATATCTGAGCTCCGCTGTGTGTTTTGGGGGAGAAGTGGCATAATTAGCTTAGGAAACAATACACTAAATGGTAAAAAAAAAAAAAAAATGGGCAAGGAGGAGGGACAAGGCAAGAGAAAAAGGCTGGAGAAGGCCGGCATGAAGTGAAGTGGAGGTGAAGCCAAACTGCTCCAGAAATCTGCACCCTCCAGCGTGGGTTTGGCTGAATTTCCACTGAAAGGGAGCCCCGTGCTGCAGCCACCGGTGACCCAGCCAGAGGAAACCTGCCGTGACACCACAGAAGCTTTCACCGGGATGAGCTGGCGAAAAAAAGGAGCCAAAGCCAGCCTAGAGCTTCACTGCACTTGCTGAGTGCCCAACCAACACTGCCAATATCCATAATTTTATCACAAGACTCCTGGCGTTTGACATATCTGTTAAAGCCTCTGTTCTGAGAGCTACAGGATTTTACAAGAATCTCTGTTTCCTTTTTTTTCCCCCCCTTTCTTTAATACACATTTTCAGCTTTGGCAGTGAACAAGGAAAGCTTGAAAATGTGATTTCTACAGACTAAGCGCTGAAAGATAAATTAAAATTAAATCTTTACTAAATCTCATAACTTTTTAAATACTTGGGGGCTTTCTCGTGTTATAAACTCTATCTAACGTCTCATGGGTCTTCTAGGAAGATGGGGAAACTGTGCCCAGTTAGTGAAGCAGCTTGTTGCAGACCATGTGCCCATCAGCGTTCAGTATTCCAGTGGTTGTAACAGTTTTCACTCACTTAATAGCACACAGCAGAAAGTTTCGACGAGCTGAAGAGAGGTTTTTAATATCTACATCTCATTTTACAAATGGGGAAACCAGCGCACAGGGCATGAGAGAACTCGCTGATATTTCGCAGAAAGTCAATCCATAAATTCAGAAAGAAAAGTCAGGGACCCCCAACCCCACCTGGACACACGCTCGCCTACTTGCAGATGCTGCCAGTGCCACTCACAGAAGCCAGAAATGAAACAGGAGCCAAACACCTCATTACAATACATTTTGCCAAATAACTGCACAAACCACGGTCCTTAAACTTTCCGAATACCACAGAGCTTATTCCCTCCTTTCCAGACCCTGAAATCTCAAATGCATTTCAATCACAAAGTCGCAACAGGAGGCAATAAGATGCGCTGCTGCAAACGCCAGCAAGACAGCACTGTAATGATTTAATTTCACATATCATGGTCAGGATGAGACAAGGCAGGGCCAAACCACTTTGGCTAATGACAATGAGCCTACACATCTCGTACATACACATACACACGTGCAATGCGTGGGGAAAGACAGAAATGTCCTGACTGTCACCACAGTGAACCAGAAAACCTCCCACAATTACATTGTGATGGCAACCACCGAACTCACATCTTCCAGCTTCAAAATCCTGGCTGTCTCCCGTCTGAAAAAACCTCCCTTCGCTGTCGGCAGCGCAGAGCCTACAACAGCTAACTGAGCAGTCCTCTGGTTATATGTAGGAGTGCGTACATATGTACATATTCAGCAAGAACCCAGCCTGCACAATAGGGACCAGATTTCTGGAATGCCTCAGCTCCCATTTAGATGCTTGAATAAAGGGGTCAGGTTTTCCAAAAAGCTAAACGCTGGGTATTGAGCTCTTTTGAAGATCTGGCCCCAACTACATGTGCGGAGCAACTGCACTCGAAATTATTTAGCAAATCTGTCCCGCAGAGCCCAGTCTTCGTGCTCTGCTCAAAGGACTGCACTGAAACCAGAGCCACCGCAGCCGGCTCAGCACCACTGCTGCCGGGCGTCCCTGCACGCGGCCCCAGATGCCCACGGGCACACCTGGCTCCTCCGCTGAGCTCACCCAGCACTTCTCCCGCTCCCACAGCACTCTCTGTGTCACTTCTGCTTGGGCAGAGCACAAACCCCCAGGACCGGGCTGCCACGAGCCTTCTGGGCTGCAGCCCGGGTGTCCGCTGCCTTCGCACACCCAGCAGCACCCACCTCCCACCCTCCAGTTACCCTCTAATCCTTTCGGGTACTCAGAAAGGCAACAGCATCTGACACCTTCTTCAAGATTACCAGGGAAACGCGTCGCCCCGTGTTAAGCGGGCAGGACAATTCACTCCGTTACCCCACGGACACTGTGCAGACGGGCCGGGCTGCCCCAGACCACGGCCCCGGTGGGAAGGTTACGCTGGCTGCCCCCCGAGATGAGGCGGTCGGGGTGCCCCGGCACTCCTGGTGCTCTTGGCTGTGTGGACAGGCCCGCAGACAACCCCGGGCATCCCCCAGCTTGCACCAGAGGCTTTTAAACGTGTGGGTTCTCTCCAGGAAGCCAAAGGCTCCAAATGCTTCCTGCAAGAGCCACAGGGCGCAAAGGGCGGGGAGGGCAAGGGGAGAGGGGGAAAGCAGCACTCGGTCCCCTGCCTCTGGAATGTTCCCTTGCCACCTGGCTCTTCTGCATCCACCACTTCACCTCCCCGGCACACAGGCACCCTCCTCTGCAAACCCCCCTTCCAGGAGTCTCCACAGACTGCCAAGAGCCCACAGAGACCTGCCTGGCTGTGCCATGGGGTGGGATTCAGGGGAGGCAGAGGAGGAGGGAGGCCGCTCTGTGGGAGCAGGAAGCCTTTCGACACCCCCCATCCCATCTCCCCAAGCAAAAGCCGAGCCCTACCTTGCAGCTGCTCGGCGCTCCCTGCAGCAGGCGGGCTGGCTGGGTGAGCTGCGGGGAACGGGAACCTGCCCCCAGCAAGAAACTTCAGGGAAAACAAACTCTCTCCATGCAGGACTGAGCAGCTGGGGCTTGGCATGTGGGCACGGAGCAGGCCAGGCCTGCGGCGGGGGGAGCGCGGCTGCATGGTGGGGGGGGCGTGCCGGCGACACAATCTCCCTTCGAGCTCCTCAGCCCAGGAGGAACGAAACAGGATCTCTCGCTGCCAAAAAGGGTTGTGCACAGCTCCTCCTGCTCCCCCCACCGCCGTCTCCCCTTCCCCGAGCCCCCTCTTCTAATCTGCTGGACACCAGCAATTGGATCATTAAAAGTAGATTGGGCAGGGGAAGGAGGGAGGGAAGAGCCGGGAGCTGGGAAGAGCCAAGTGGGCTCTGCTGCTCCCTCCCCTCTTTCCCAGGCTCTCTGAACTCCCGCACCCGGAGGAGGAGGAGGAGGAGGAGGCCTGGCTCTGGGCCGCAGCCATGGCAGCCACAGCGAGGAGGAAGGCAGCATGGATGAGGAGGAAGGCAGCACCAGGCAGAGGGACGCTGAGCCTCTGCCTGCAACCTCACTCGCTCCGGGGCCGTGCTGGGGAGATTTCACGGGTTTGCCTTGAGCAGCCTCGGAGTACATGAGAGCTTTTACACAGGGACAGGCAGCCGGTCCTGGCAGGGCTTTGTGTGCTCTCAAATTATTGCTGCACGCCCGCGGATGGAAGGAATTGCTGGAGGCGGTTGAACACCCACATAACCACAGGTCACAGAAAGCCGGTCAAGGATGCTACAATACACTACAAAACATGGCTACTAGAGGTAGATTAGGGCAGGTTTAGGATGAGTAATCCATCCCCAAAGCTCTCCTGTAAGCAGCCACCTGCATCCCACTTGAAAAAAAAAAAAAAAAATGTCCACTCTGCCCTGTGGTGCCTGCGTGGACACAAAACTCCAAGAGGCAGAGCTTCGTCACAAACACAAAGCCCCTCACAGACCCACTGGGTTTAGATTTCAGCCCAGTACAACTTCTCCAGTGTGCTGAATCTGCCGGGCTGGATCCTTGGCTCGTTTCCTCCACTGGCATCGGGTCTAGACAGACAGGCAGTGCCAGCGGGGAGACAGGCTCTGCCGTGCATCTGCTCTGACGCCACGGGACCAGGGGCTCGTGCGCCACCCTGCCTGGGGCTAAAGGGATGAGGGGGGCAGGACAGACACCGTCCTCGTACCCCGATAAAGCCGTCCCCCACTGTGGCTAGGGAAGCAGTTCAGGAGCTCAAGGTGTGTTCTGATCGTGGAGAACTGGCTCTGTACCCAGACCTGAGGAACAACAGGTGGGCTTATTTGCTCCAAGTGCCTGCCTCTCCTTCCTATGTCACCGGGCAGGGACTGTTCCTCTTGTAACCACATCCCATAGCCAATTCAAAAGTCCCCTGATTTCGCTTATGGCTTCCAGGTGTTCGCTAAGAATAACACCGGACGAGTGTCTCCCTCCATGGGGTATATGCCTAAAAATGTTGTACTGCATGTGCTCCCGTCTGCTCCTGGCGTGACAAATTTCATTCCACGGAGCGTGGTAATTTTTTTCTGTGCGTTTCAAGCGGACAATATAGGTGACAGAACATCTGTACTTCATTCAACCCCTATGCGTCATCCAGCATTTTCTTGGTATTTAGCTATTGTTTTCTTTCTGTCTTTCTTCTTTCTTTCTTTTTTTTTTTTTTTTTTAAACAAACACTCCAAAGGCTCCCACAGGGTAGAGCACAACCACTGCAATACCAACCCCGAAGAAATAAATGCGGCTGGTTTTGCTAAGGCCTGGTATGTTCTGAGGAGAACCCAAAGCCTGGAGCTTCCCCATTTTCAGGACAGCACAGAAGGAAATGCTTGGGCTGGCATCATTTGCGCCTGCAAGAGGCGGGGGATGCCGACGCTGGCTTGCAGTCCCACATCACAATTGTCCCTTGTTCCACAGAGAACAAGACTCCTCACAAATGCTGAACTGGTTTACAGCAGGGCTTAGAAGTCCAAATCCCAAGTCTTTGCTGTCTTACTGAAGCCACTGGGTTAAATCCTGTGCCCCTCACTTAGTCATTAACTCAGTCAGGGTTTTCCTCCATAAAGCCTAAGCAAACAGCCACAGCCCTGCACTGGAAGGGAGCTGTCAGGCTTCTTCTGGAGCAGAAAGCCAGGAGCACCTACAGCTGGGGGACTTGCACACAGGCTCTGGTCTGCTGCTGAGTGATCAGCTCCCTTGCAACGCCTCCGGCTCTGGGAGGATGGGACCAGCCGGCTGCACAGCTGGACAGGCTCAAGAAAAAGCTGTTCTACTTCAGGTCAGCACAGCAGCACGTCCAGTTCCCCTGAAACACGTGCAATTAGATCATGCACCGCTAGTCACGTACTCCAAAACCATGTGGGAAGTCATCGTTCAACCCCCCTCTTCGGGTACCCCCCTGAAAGGTCTCTGTTCCCTCAGCGCCTCGTGCCCCGTCCTCCCTCCCTGCACTTCACGGCCGCTCCCAGACCTGCAGGACTCCCCAAGGCACCTGGAAGCCGAGAGTGCCTTCCTCACCCTGCCCATCCCAGCTGCTTGGCACACCTCGGCCCCCTTTCCGTGCTGACTCCCCCTCTCTCAGTGGAAGGAGTTGATTTTGCTCTCGCGCTGCGGCTGTGCCAAGCGATCCCAGCCCTGGAAGGGGCCTCCACGGGATCTGCTGCTCGCAAACCCGACCAGCCATCACGGGGGGAGAGGGGTGAGGCAGCAGCGCGACGGAGTCCCTGCACGTCTGTGAGGAACCCAGAGGCTAACAATAGTGGCAAGCGCCACCGAGAAGCCTATAAATAAATCCATATTCCTCCTGTTTTCGCTCTCCCCCTGGCGCTGACCTGCTTTCCAACCAAAGCCGGGGAGCCGCACCACCCCTGCTCCTACCTGCCAGGCACGTGACTGCGCTCCCACCCCCGCCGCCAGGAGCTGTGCAAATATAGAAACCCTGGTACGGTCCCCAGCCTTGGGCTCGCACGGTCTGTCAGTTATAATCACAGCTGAGCCTCCGTCAATCACCCCGATCTTGCCCTCTCCCCCACCCCCTCTGCCTGTTTGTTGGCTAAAAATAGCACGTTCCAGTGCAGCCGTTCACCTTGTGCCAAGCGCTCGCTCCCCGGCCATGGCACAGATGCTCTTTCTCCCTCCTGCCTCCTCCTCTGCTCGCAGCAGCTGAACACACAAGAGGAGTAAATACTCCCCAAACGGCCTCGTCGGCAGCGTGAGCGAGGTTTGCCTCGTTTGCCCACGTATCAGGTACGGTTTGGGCAAGCTTCCCAAACACGTAATGGACATGGTGGGCAGCGTTTCAAACTGGATATTGCGGGATAACCTCTGTAAATAAAAAAGGGAGATGGCTTTCCTGCCCACACAGTTTATGGCCTCTCAGCTGGGCATGCCAGGAGGGTGTCAGTCAGGATTAAGGGATGGCCGTGCTGCTTCTGAAAGCCTGGATGCCCTTGGCCTCCGGTGACTGGGCTGGGATCCATCAGACTGAGCCCACATAACCCACCGGAGTGTCATCGGGCTGTTTCTGCGTGTGGGTCACTACCATTACCATTCAAAATCACTTACGCTTTGTGAGGATGCCTACTGCAACAAGACAAAAACAAACAAAAAAAGGAGTAAACAGCCAGACAGCTATGGCAAGACTTAAAATCGGATTCGTGCTGTGATTTGCGGGGGTATCATCAATCACATTTATACAACAAGGTAAATCTGGCTTTTGACTATAGAGAAATATATCCAGAGGTTGTTTGGTAGAGTAATCCTGGATTTTTGCTAAAAAAACCCAAGATATGGCCCATAAAGTATTAAAAACTATCTGACCACGCTGACAATATCCCTGTAAAAGTTATTTCTGGTTTAGATCCTACCCCACTGCTTTGGACAGACGGGGTGGAAAGGAGGGCAGCAGTACAACGTTGTGGATTCTTGCTGTTGCAAAAGCTGTATCCGTCAAGGGGTAGGAAAGATTTCTTATTCTGCTGCCTTAGAACCTGAAACCTCCAAAAAACCCACGTGTCCTGCCCTCCAGGGTTATTTATTGTTATAAATAACAAATACCTCACAAACCTCTGGCCTCCTCGTTTCTTTTGGTTCAGACCCTTCCACACTGGAACCTGGCCCCCTGTCAGAACCCAGGAGTCTGCTGCGGTTCTGCCTTACATGTTCAATGCTGGTTTTCCTTGAAATACGAGCATTTGTCACGTGAGTCAGTTGGTTAATTATGAACCTTGGCGTGCTGTTAACATGTCCTATAACACCGCAGCAGTTTTGATGAGTACATCTTAAAACCAGCAGAGCTAGATAAATAACTATTGGACCAGTCAGGTCTGGCATGCGATGCTCTTCTAAATAATTGCTTAACAAACTATTTTCACAGGTAGGCTTGAAGGTGGAATCCCCGTGGCTGGTTAATCTGACTAACAAAGCACTACCTAGTTCATACTAATTATTGTTCTTGCCTACAATCAACCTGCTGGCCACAAGGCAGATTACCAATCGGTATCTTTTTGTCCTTTAAAACTTGGACTCTGGGAGCTGAGGACAACGACCTCGAGTTCACGTTCTCGAGCTGCTGCATTGAAAACCACAGCCCAAACCACTTCCACACAGACGAACTCGGTAGCTGGAAATCACAGTCCAATGTCAGCCTCCAAGTGGACTGGCCGCAGGACAGGAAGGGGGAAGCTGCACGTTTCACAGGGTGTTGTGCCAGGACCCCTCTGGCATCATCTGAACATGGAAACTCAGCCTCACGTTCCCCACGGCTGTGCTGCTCTGTTTGCATACACCCTTCCAGGGGCCTGTTTGAAAAGGCAGCGACTATTCAGATCTCTGACTGTGAAATTCTTTGCGGAGTCAGGGCTCACCCGGGGAGCTGTCAGTGCTCTCTGCACACTTCTCTCCTCCTCATCTCCATCCCACACGGCTGTGACTCTCTGGATTGACAAACTCTGTGCAGATCTTACCTTCTTTGGCCTTTCGTGGTGGGATACATGCTTCTCTTGAGCAGGGGATGTGGATCGACTCCTTCTTCCAGCAATGAAGGAGCTCCCTCCAGAGTGACGTGAGGTCTTCTGAGGTAAGAGGGGAAGCAGCGAGGAGTTGGAGAACAGGAGAAAAAGAAAAGGAGAGAGAGGAAACAGTGTTACAGAGTCCAGTGAGCAAAGTTCCAGTAAATGGCTTGTCTACCACACGCAAGACCAAACTCCTTTTGGACCAGATGCCCAGCCTGGCTCCCAACACGGGGACCACAGCGGATACCGTGGCAAGGGGCTTACAAACAGCACGTAGATCTGACTCCCCAGATCCTCGGTGGCCCATGCACACTGACACTTGCACAAGGAAGGCACAGCTGCTCAGAGACCAGTCCGTAAAGAACACGCTAAATGGCAGCAGCAGTGCTGCTCAGACAAGCCACTCCTGAAGGGCAGTGCCCGGCTTTCAGTCCTGAGCGGGGCGTGGGGGGGTGGAAGGATGCCCTGTTCTCAGGCTCCAGGCACCAGCAGCAGTCCTGCTATCTATCTCGGCATCAGCTAACTTGATACAGAGCTACACTTGTGTCAGATACTGAGGGTACCTGAAGGGCAGGGAAGGTGTCCTGCAGTTTGACTTTGAGGGGAAGCTCAAGGCATCAGTCACTGTATGTGACAGCACTGATAAGTGGGAAGGAAAGTGGGGAGGGCCAGCAACAAAGGAGCCACTGAGACATAAAGCTGTAGTGAGAGGATCAAGTTTCCTTTTTGCTGGAGGGGGGAGAGCAGGTGTCTACTAATTATGCAGGACAGGAAAAGGGTTACTCTCTTTCCTCTCGGTACTGTAATTAATAGTCGGGGGGGAAGTCCTTTGCCCCAATATCCCTCAAACAGTGAATGACTCCATGTCTCTTCTGGGCTGCCTCTGTCCTCAGGCAGGAGGTCTGGCTGCTCTGTTACACCCTCCCGCTCAGGGTGCCTGCGCTACACCCCCAAGTCCCTGGAGCACCAACCACCACGGCTGCTCTCCTTTCTTGGGACTTCTCTTTCAGCCACACAGAGTGGGTCAGGGAAGCCAAAACAGATGGGAGGAATTCAACGCCTACTTTTGAAAATGGGTTTAAAGATGCTACAGAAATGAAAAATATAAATTAATCTTTATTCCTAAGTGACTCTGGCTGGAAAGGGAAGCAGGCTGCAGACCTCGTTTATGTGTTTGTGGCATTTCTTACTGCTCTGAGCACAGGCACAGTCTAGGAGGAAGACAATGCCTTTTATGTGACAAAATAATTCCATTGCAGGGATGAAGAAACTCACCATTTTATTGAAGTGGTACTTGCAGTAGCCACAGTATTTGACATTGTCGACTTCCAGCACTTCCTCTTCACATAAGAGGCCGGCCATCTGGGCACTGAAATACATGCAATTAGGAGGAGGATAAAGCAAATTGTACAGCCAGACCACATATCCCATCAAAGGGCAAAGAATAGTTCAGGGTACCCAGGCAGAGTCTTGAAGTTTCCTGTTCTGCTTGGCAAATGATATGCAAGGAAGGGGAAAAAGTTCAGACTATTTTTAGTTCATATTAAGCTCTTCAAAAGGGTCAGTACTTTTCTACCACATTGTCTTGCGATTTTTTGTGTTTCTTAAAGAGAAAACCAAAAGGGACCGGTTACAATTCCGACAAAAGACATGCCATGAGCAAAGAATCCCTGTAAAGCTGGGAATCTCCCTGCTCTGCGAACGAGCAGTGTTGTTTTCAGGCTTCAAGGGTACGAGCAGTGTTGTTTTCAGGCTGCGAGGGTATGTGAGGGTATCAGCCTTTCAAATCACATCATCTAGATGATACTTTTGCATGTGCTCTGCTGGAGAAGGAACATTCCTGGGTTGTGAGTCACCTCTTCTCTTCTTGGATTCCACATAGTCTTAGGGAAATCCCCAGCCTTCGTTCTCAGCAGGGAAGGCTCACTGGTGAAACCTCAGCCTTCCTGGGGAACTTCCCCTCACAGAGGGACCAGGGATGAGATACCCCTCGCACAAAACCAACCCAGGGTGATAAACCCAACTCCCCACCCCAGCCAGTTAGTGCTGCCTCAAAGCCACAGCAGCAAAACCAACAGCTGGGGCTGTTCTCGGGGTGATGCCGTGGGGAACTCACCAGGTGACGTGGAAAGCTTGCCGGCAGCCGTGTCGGTTACAGGCCATGCACGCTCCAGAGGCTGCTTTGCTCTCCCTGCCCTGCTCTTCACAGATGTAGCAGGTCTGCAAGAAAAAGGAAAAGTGCTCACTCAAAGAGGCAGTCAAAATGTCTGCTTCACTCTCACTGTTCGCCAGGAGGCAAAGCCTTCGAGGACTCCTAACTCTGTGTCCAGTCATCTCCCTCCTACGTCAACAGCTCTGGTTATTTCTCAGTGGCGCACACGAAGCTCATGCACCTTCTTTTTCTCCCCAAATGTGTCAGATCAAAACGTGGAGTCACCAACACGCAACTCCAAGGCGGAGGTTGCTCAAGTTGCAGGGAGTTGGGGAAGAGAGAAATGGAGGATGAAGAAGTTATTTGCAAGAACACTGATTTACTTTGTTAGTTATTTTTAAAGGAATCTGAGTAACTGGGAACTACAATAAGTTGGACAGGAGATGTTGGTAGCATAAGATGACCTCAATAAGCCAAGGTGGGGCAAGTGCACTTTGGGGTGGCTCTAGAAAGAGGTGGCATTACCTTGTTGAAGCGGTCGTGGGGTACATACTGCAGGACGATTGGCTCCATGGTGAGCACGTTGGCAAACTGCACCTCTGGGATGTACAAAGCACAGACAACGTGGGCCCACCCTGGGGAAGCAAACAAGACAGAGAGCGGAGATTCACACGGAGCAACCCAAGAGAGTCTTAACCTTAGGCAGGGCTGCAGACAAGCATGGGAGGGAGAGAAGGAAGAGAGTGTAGGAAGGGAGCCAACTTAAGGTAGATGTTAGATTTGAAATACTGCCTGTTGTAACTTGGTTAGGAATCAAATCCTTTGTGGGTGAAAGATAGATGGATACCACCTCCAGATTAAATGAGAAAGCAGAGATTTCTTTGGGAAAAATGTACAACGCTCATCGTTCTTAAAAGCACCCCCTCAGGACTTGACGCCTGGAGTTGAAGACCTAACCAAACCCAAGAAAAGCATCCAAGCAGCAAATGATGCCGATGGGACAGGTTTGACGTGTAGTCCCCTGCCACTGGAAACAAAGCTCCCTTTATTGGCTGTTATCAACGGCTAAAGAAGGCTCTTTTTCAGCAAGCCAACTTAGATTAAAATCTAAATCCACCAAGGCGCTTCCCAAATCAGATGTGTACGTTGAAATTCCATCTGGTCAGGACAGAACTGAGAAAGTTTGAAAGTCAGGAGCCTTTGGGGGGCTGATCCATGACCGGCATGGCTACTGCACTGGGAGGATTTAGCTCCAATTGGGATGGAGTCACCTGGGCAGGCAGAACCAAACTCCGTGGTTACAGAATCATACGGTGCTGTAAGTGCCTGGGCTGTGTAATTCTGTGCAGTGACACAGCTGTAACACTTCTCGTGCCTGTCCACACAGACCTGGCTGAGCCACGCAATAACACGTTTGGAAAAAGATGCTGTGTTATTATAAAACAATCCCCCAACATGATACTTGTGCTATTGCACTAAGACTCTGGGCACTTACGCCCTGCTCTAGCAGACGCTTCTACAAAATAACCCGGATTTAGCGCTTCTCTAAATATGGGATCTATCAGAATAAAGACCTCCTTGCCTAATTTAACTCTTTGTGCATTAAGGTGAGTGACAGGCAGGTACAGAAGCTTTTCTGAAAAAGAAAGAAAAATTAAGTTTGATCTATACAGCCTGTAGCATTGACAGCTGCCAGCTCTGACAACTGAAATCAGCATCCACAGCGCTTCAGAGCCCCAGAGGCTGTGAAGATCAACGATGAGCACATAAATCCTGCAGAGAAAAACATCTTTACTGTGTCCTAGTCCCTGCTCTCGGGTGGGGACTCAAGGCTGAGGCTCTGTTAACTTGAGGATCACACCGCTGCTGCGCAAGCGGGCAGCAAATAACCCTGCAATGCTCACACTTGTGTCAACAACGCCAGATCCCGCACTGATTCCTGCGAGGTGAAACTCAAGAAATTGCACATTTCAGGGGCTGGGCTCCGACGCCAGCCAGAGGTCAGGCAGGTTCTCCCCCCCGGGGAAAGGTCTTCTCACCATGGAAGCTTCAGAAAGGGAAGTTTTGTCAGAAAAAGGCAGAGTGTTTTCAATCCTCTGGAGCCTCCAGCCTTCCCTTTCTGGGGACACAGGCTCAGAAATTAATTATTTTGCACGTGGGACAGGTGGCGAGGCCCCAGAGGCTCCGTGTGACATACCCGGCTCCGCGCAGAGGTACTCACCTCCGTTGTCGGTCCGTTTCAGGGCTCCATCTTTGTGGGGACACAGTTCACATCTCTTGAAATTAAGCAGAAACAACAAGTTTAATCTAACTCCCAGGGGCGTGGGGCCAGAAAAAGAGATGATTCATTTACAACATGGTTATGAAAGATGGGGCTGCTTTCAAAGAGAGGAAGTGGAAGAAGGGCTGAGAGCGGTTTGGGTGCAAAAAGATACTCTGACACAGCTCGATATCACCCTGTCTGATGGAGACGTATTTAAAGCCTCAGCCCAAGAGCCACGGGGCTACAAGTGAACTTTGACTTTCACGGGGCTTTTTAAAAAAAGTTTTAGACTTTGTGGTTGGGGAGTAAAACTGAAAACCGTGACTCAGAGAGCAGAACGCAAATAAAAAGAAGCCATTATCTATCTTTGCCTCTTTCCTTCCTTCCTTCCTTCCTTCTCTCTTTCTCTTGTGATATTTTTTCCACTCCCATGAGAGGCGGGTGAGGCCGTCGTGACATTTTTGCAGGCGGGACGTGGGGGGCCATGGCGAGCCCAGCCCCTGCTGCCCCCCCAGCCCAGTCTCGGGGGTGGCCGAGGTGTGGTGGAGGGGGCATGAGCGGCATGTCAGCGCCGGAGAGTCCCTGCCACCCACGAGGGTGGAGGAAGCTCCCTCGGCGCCATCACGACGGGCGAGAGGCCGCAGGCCCGGCGCCATGACGGGTTGGGAGGGACCCAGTCGCTAATGGCTGCGTTTGGGGAAAACCAGGAGGGGGGAAACCCACCGTCCCCTCCACCACGGGCCAGCAGGCACAGGGTGATCAGAGATGAGCCCCTTCACGCCAGGCCCGAGGGCAGGGGGGCCTCTGAGGCCAAACCTGCCGACAGGCCTCCCTCATGGTGGGAACAGGCCTCACCCCCCGCCACCACACACACCCGGCGAGGGGACGGGGCGGCTCTGCCCAGACACGACGGCACGAGCCGGGGAAAGCCAGCGCCACGGCCCTCGGCGCCTTTCCTCGCCTCGCAGCAGACGGCCTACGCTCACCTTCCCCACCTCACTCGTTCCAGCCCTGCCCAGCCGCCATCAGCCCCCACATCAGGCGGCGGCCACAGGCCCCGGCCGTAAGGCCCCTGCGAAGGGACGGCGGAAGGTGTGGGGGGGTTTCAGGGCGCGTTGCCACGCATGGGGGAACACGCTCCCAGCCCCGAGGGCTCCTCCCAGGCTGAGCCACCTGAAACCAGCCGCTGCCTTCTGGCCGCATCACTCGGGGAAAATTTCGGCGTGCTTTTTGTTTTCTTTGATTTTTAAAAAAAAAAGCCTGTGAGGCGCAAACCTTTTCCTTCCCCCGTAGAAATGTCTGATTTGTTCAAAATAAAACAAACCAAAACCAAAACAAACAAAAAAAAACCCCACCCTGTTTTTCTGTGAAAAATGTGCTTGGTCAGAAAGTTTTGAAATGAGGTGCTGGGTGTCAAAGCGAGACAGCGGGCTGTGCCGCTGTGAGGGTGCGGGACCCGGCGTTCTCGCCTGCTCGCGCTTCACCCCCAGCGCTCGGCTCCGGCGAGTGTAACGGGGCAGGTGCTCCACGCTGTGAAAAACACCGATGTATAGAGCGGTAACCAGCCACGAGCAAGAGCCTCGGCTACTGCGTGGTCCCCAAGGACCTTCCACAAAGGTGGGAATTTTCCCCAAGCAAGATTTCCTCTGTGGAAATTTCACCTCCCAGACGGACAAGCGCAATAAATAGGACGGCAATAAATTGGGAGGCTCAGCCTGACCCTCGGATGCTTTCGTGGGAGTCCAGCGTGCGGGGCTGTCAAACAAGCACCTTCGGCGTGCACGAAATCCCTGCGGTAACGTATAAATAAGATGAAGGGGACAAAGACCAAGTGTGGTCATCAGCGGCCTGTCTCTCTTTCCTTTGCGACTTAGTTCGCAAAACGGATGGATGACCACAGGAGGTGTTTCTCACCACTCCTGGTTAGGTCTGGGCTGCCAGAGGGCCGGAGAGCTGCTCCCACAATTACTATGGAAAGCCCGACAGAGCCAAGACAGAAAAAGAACTGGGTTAACTGAGACACTGTAATAAGAAATTTGCACTTGAAAAGGCCCCTCTGCTCTCCCCTCCACCCCTCAGATCAAAGCGGCTCTCCCACCATGCGATTAGCAAAGCTCTGATTGTAACAAGAGGGGTTAACAGCTCCATCGGCCCCACACAAGACTTTTAATAGCCCTGCCTCGAAATGACAGCTAAAGCCTTCACATGATCCCTCACATGAGTGCCCTCTGGCCATTGCAGCTCACCGGGCTTCCTAGACAATTTGATTACAAAGTGGATGGGCTTTCAGTTGCTTACTGTAAGCACAATAGCATCCACAGCATCCTTCGGGGACCTGAGCATCTGAGGAGGGGTTAGGAGCAGGATTAGCGGTACCTTCTGCCTTTTATTCAACCTGCAGAGGCCGAGGTTGTCTCCGGGGTTTGGATTTCAACTCTGGGAAAAGAGCAGAGCTTGGCTGATTTAAGCCAGGTTGTGCCGGGTAAGGTTTGAGCTCCTGACCCCCTCGGGGTTTCTAACTCGGGGATCTACCACCTGCTGCCTGAAAGTTAGGGCTCCTGAGCTCTCTTCAGCCAAAGCTGAAGAGCAGGTGGAGTCCATCTCTCTAAAGAAGATATGCAGAAACCAGACCCGTGTTTTGGAGCGCGCTATTCTCCATGCCTCTGTCCCTCATTTTCAAAGGAAAAGTATCGGTATTTACCCAATGAGTATGTTTGTTATGGACAAAGCGCGTTAAGCTGCTTTAAGATTCTCCTACAAAGGCAGATGTGGGAAGAAACACACTGTTGTTTTTCAAAGGAGTTTGCCACACAGTCATTATGAAAGAAATACAAATATGAATTCGCTCCGCTGCTGGTGTCAGTGCTTTTAGGGCTCAAATAGCAGCATCTCTCACTCAAGATCCTCAAGGCGGTGTCTGCAGGCTGAGCGAGGCCCTTTTACAGCTGGAGAAAGCCAGGCACAGTGAAACTCCGGGGCAGTCCTACCCTCCTGCCTCACTGGACCACGGAACCCCACCTCAGCGTGTAGCAGAGCCACGCACAGATCTCGTAAGACCTGACTCATTTCCCTTACTCTGATCATGCCGTTCCCTACATCAAAGAACTAGATTCTTTTTAAGTATTTACCCATCTGCGTGTCTGTTGCTATGACTGCTGGTGTTTAACTGAAAAGGTGAGGGATTTAGATGGGAAATCATCCCCAGCTCTGCTTAGGAAGGAAGATTATCACTGCTCAGTTATTATAGTAGCAGGGCTGAATGCCACAGGACTGAATGGCATGACTGAAGCCCACCACGCATTGTCTAACGGATTTCACCGAGGGCAAGTTAAATAAGGAGCCACCTGCGGGGGTATTGTTTTCCTGATACCTTGGAGGCAGTTTGAAGATGTGCAAGTAAAAAGTTAAAGAGTCCTTGCAGCGAGAGCAGGTGAGGAGGACTTGTGTGTACACGTGTTACTACAGCCTGCACTGAACGGTGGCTAACGCTGAAGAGCTGCTCTCTGCCTGCACGGTTGGGAGAGCCAGGGGAAGGAGGCCCAGGACATCCAAATTCCTTTCTTGGCTATGAAACTATCTGCAGGATGTAAACCCACTCAAAGACACATTTGATCTTTACTGCAGCGCACATAAAAGCAGCATCTTACAATGGGAAAAGAGCTCAGGTCTGAAAGTCTGGTCCTGTTTACGCTCCCGCTTCCAATGAGGAATGAGTTAATGCAGTGTAGAAAGCATGGCACAGATACCTAATTCCCCCATTCACTCATCTTTGCCAAGTTCTTCGCCCATCTGTGAAACAGAGTAAACTTTTGGACTGCAGCAAGCAGCGAGCCCAGCTGAGATGGAGCACGCTATTTGCTCAGGCCTGCACAGATCCGCAGATTCAGAGGTCACCTACAGCAGCCTTCACTAGGTGTGTACTTTAAAATCAGGTTTAGCTAAACCAGTTCTGAAGGCAGCGCACGGCATTCATAAACGCTGTTTGCGCTGACTGAGGCCTTCTGTATTTAAGGAAAGCTGAAGTTTCATTTCGATCCATCCTTAAGGAAGGGAAGCAGGGAAGCAGTCCCAGATTTACTGCGTGGCACAAGCAGCATCCATGGCATAAACTAAGACGTTAAAAGATCTCCAGCCCGGCACCTCGGCAGTTGGTTGGCGCAGCCGTGTTGGGTAAGGGCTCACATGGGAAGTGATTGCAGAGTAGCTGGTGTGCTATAAACTCACAGCCTACTTTACTGCACAAATAACTTTGCCACATAGACAGACCTAAGAGGCAGTCCTGGCCTGATTGTTTCCACTTTCCTGCCTCACCGGGAAATGCCAGAATTAATTAAGAACATTTGTAAAGTGTTCTATACCGCTAAATTGCTACTTAGACAGAAACTAAACCCTGATCCAGCTTCCTGTCATTTTCTCGGCTGTTTTACAAATGCAGAAGTCTTTATGCAGGAGACTGTTGCTGCAAGATACGAACGCCAACCCACCCTGTCAGTCGGTATGATAACTTCGACAGCATAGCATCATCTCAGGTGATGCCAACTTTCCTCCACTCCAGAACTTCCTCAGGAGTTGAACAGAAAAAGCAGCAGGGAAACCACCTTTTTAGAAGAACGCCATGAATTTTTTTTTTTAGGAGATTGAGGTCTCTAGACTCAAAAATGTTGACAGCCATAACTCGCTTAAAAACACCTCTGGCAGCATCTTCATCACAATGGCTAGCAGCATTGTATAAAATCATTTGATGCAATTATTCCTGTTGTCTACAGGAGATAGAGCAGGTTACAGGCAGAGCTGGGATTACAGTCACTGAAATGCCAGGCTCTACTTTTGCCAGGGGACCGCACTGCTTCCAGCAGAGACATGAAGGGCATCGGACAAACCTACTCAGTGGAGGTACAAGTGTGCTGCGTACTCACCACCCTGGCGGCTCTCTCTTGAGATTCACATTTCCGACAGAACCAGGGTCCGGTAGGAACCTGGACAATTCCATAGCAAGCTGGAAGGAAAGCAAAGAGAGTTCATTAGACCATCTTTAAACTGACTGTTTCACTTCTCAGGTGTATATAAAAGTTTGCCAGAGCTGTTATCACTCGGAGGTGGGTGACAAAACCAAACGCTGCATCCACGCAGCGTTTTTATTCCCCTTTCCAGTTTCCATATCCACCGACAGCAGACAGCCTTTTGCAAGAGGTCCAGCGTTACACATTTATTGAAGCTTTCAAAGAAGCTCATGCCCGGTGTGAAAAATTCCAATGAAAATCTGGCCTAAGTGGAAATCGAGTGCTTCATAAACTGCGTCTAATTCTGGTCTAGCAAACAGAAACGGAGCAATTTCTTATCCCTTAACTTTTCAAGCATCACTACTAGTGATCTAAATATAAAATTATGAAATGGATGGCTATGAAGCACCTTAACCATAAACAGGACTAAGATAAAAATCTCAGCATCACGGAGGAGGAAAGAATTCAGACAAGACACCAGGAGAAACTCCCATTTATCCTGCACGCCCTCAGGTCTGTACGTCACGTCCAGCCGCAGCCTTTCGCACCGTGCTCTCAGGATCACTGAATTCAGGGGTTTTAGGACCAGGAACATGGTTCTGGTCCTAAACAAGTCTCCAGGTGCTCACCCAACAAAACTGCTGGTTTTACCCAGCTAGACCATGCGTCCCTCTTGCGTTCTACATCGCTACTGACGCTCTCAGGGTCTCCCTCTGCAAGCTGCAGCTCCCAGTTCTTTAAAATTAGCTCCCTTCTCTGATGGGGCAATGCTGCTTGAAGGCAGTTCACCTTTTTCAGGGGTCTTCTCCCTCTGACCATCCAAGGATGGTCTTTGGGAGTCCCAAAGGAAGCATTTCTGACCCTGAGGGGGCTTTTAGCTACCACGCAGGTGGGTTTAAAGCCACAGAGGCCGGTAAGGATGGCAGTAAGGAGTAAGGGTATGCATCTCAGACGAGGGTATGAGTCTCCTAGGAAAGAACAAATTATTTCTTCCTTATTCCTCCTTCAAACGCGAGCTGACGGTTGGAATGGAATCCCAGTCACTTGAGACATCTGAAACTAGGTTGGACAAAGCATCTGAAAATATCCTGCTGGAAGCAATCCTGTGATGTTCCCTGGGGGGTGGACCGAACACAACCCGCAATAGGTTCTCTCCATCCCTCTGATGTCTATTATTCCACATCAGCCAGGAAAACGAATGCAATTGTAGAGTTAAACCAAAAGAGCTGACTGCAAGATGAGCCAAGGCATACACATAAGAAAATAGAAACTACATGAAAGCAACGACAGAGGAGCCTTGGGTCCATCTTTAGCAGTGGGCTTGGGGCCAAAAGCAAGCACTCAGCTGGAGCCAGCCCGAGCTTCTGTGCCCACTGCTTCAAAAAGGAAGAAAACAAGGGAAAATGCAAAACATAAGTAAGGCAGAGCTGAAAATACGGTTTGGAAATGTTCTTAACTATCCTGTTAGAGTCTTAATTTTCAATGACATTTTTAGTTTTTTACTGGAAAGGTAAGATTTCTAACCATCATCAGAGAAATAGCACTGATAATTTTACAAGCCAGCCCGAATCTGTAGCTATGATACAAGTTTAAAAAAAAAAAACAAAACAGGGTTCTTTATTTAACTGTACAATCATTTCAAAAGGTAACTTTGGTTTTGCGGATATTCAAGCGGTACAAAGAGATACCAAACCCAGTGTGTGATTGCACGGAACGAGACTAGATGATCCCCTGCAGTGGTTTGTTTCCATTTAAGAAATCAAAGCCCACCAAAACACCCCACTACGGCCAGGCTTAGGAGCAGCCTTTAAAAAGAGGGTTGAAGAACGTCCACTACGCACTGCTACGCTCCTTAGGAATTATTATATCCTGAAGGACTCTTACAGGACCTAAATAGACGGTTGTGGTTTTCAAACACGCCAGCAGTGCCCTCTCTGAGACTTTTCTAACACGTTCTGACTCTACAAGACGACGCTACGTGCCCGCTCCCCTGCCGCAGCAGCGAACACATCCCACGTCCCGACTCCGTACCTGCACGGGCCTAGGAACAGGCACCTGCAAAGAATAAAAGCATTGCCCGTTTGAACCTGCTCTGGCCCACTGGAAACTGTTCTTGCCAGCAAGCAGAAGTGTTTATATTAATCTTGGGAGCAGGCATAAGGATGTCAACGCCCTTTATCTCCCCCCAAAAAAAAGAGAGCGATGAAGAAACCTACTCTCTAGCGTAGGGTTTGATAAATAACGGGAAGAATTAAAGACTTAGAGCAGCAAAATGAAACCAGAGAGACCCTTACACGGTGCTGGGTCACTGGGAGCCACCCTGGCAAGGCTGCCTGATGCCAGGAGTGACCCAAGCATCGCCTCCGAACGCCAAGAAATCCCCCGCGAGCTTCGCTTCCTCATTTTTATCTCCCCTTCAGTCACCTGGTTGTAAGCGACTTGTTACTACAGCCGCGAGCAGGGATCCACCAACCGTAGGAAAAGCAACAAGAAAGCCGCAACCTACAGACCCGGAGACCTGCGCCTGCCAGGCGGGCAGAGGCAGGGCAGGAGACGTTGGCAGCTGGAGGCAGGAGCGCGCATCGAGACACCGAGGGAGAGATGATACAGGAAGAGGCTGGAGATGCGCTGCGAGAGGGATGGGATAATAATAGATGGAAAAACAGACACGCCAGATGAGACCAGAAACCTTCGCGTTATTCAAAACAAACCAGCCAGGATAAGCGCGGTGCCTTTCTGCTGGATAGGAACGAACGCAAAATATCTGGTTGGGGGGGGGGGGGGG